ACCTTTTCCTTCTCTAAATGACTTTCTTGAGGCATGGGTCTTCATACGTGGAAACAAAAAGGAAAAAAAGGATGAAGAAAAGAAAAGAAATCACCCCGCAGTCATGGAATTCAATCTATTTCTAGTTCCCCAACTGAATTATGAACCACATCTGTTCTCTTTTGTAGTTGCATCAAAAGCCAACTTTCAAACATTTAGCCATTTTATTTTATTTTTCTCAAAGCAAAGCTAAATCATAGGTAATCTGAAAAGTTCTTGTGTTTTAGTTTTGATTTATAAGTAAGGAAAGGGGAAAAAAAAGACCGGTTTCTAAGTGACCCTTGACCTTTGAACCACAACCTCCTTGCCACTAAAGCGTTCATCACTTCATTTAATCTCCCCTCTCTGCACTGGCGTAGTACAGAGAAAAGGAAACGGAAAAAATAATCTGGGGACTTCATCAATTTTTCATGAATTTTCATTTAGGCCACATCCCCCTCTTACCCTGGTCGATAGATCAAGCTGCTGTCATATATTTACCACCTGGGGCTACAGCTGCCAACTCTAGGCACTGCCACTGACTCAGGCTGCATCACAGGCAGCCACAGTCTGCGTGAGGACCCCTGTGCTCCTTCTGCTCCAAACACAGGGAGGCCTGGAGTTCAAACTGAAATCCTATCTGCACCAGCTACGTCTCAGCTCTCTTGGTGGTCCCATTGGAAAACTATGTATTAAATACTTCGGTGCCAAGTGCCTTACTTGTAGAACCTGCAATTCTGTTTTCTAAATATGTAAAAATCACTTTTTTGCCTAAATACCTTCCTTGAGTTAAAGTGATCTAAAAAGTACATTCTGGATTGCTTTTTTTTTCCAAACCAAGAGGGGAAAAAAGCAAATATGTGGTAAGTGATTCAAATCTCCACTGCAGGGATTGGCCCTGAATAGTTTTTTCCTCAATTATGTTGTTCCGTTACATAAAAGTGAACTCTGTGTTTAATAAAACAAAAAGAGAATGAATAGAGTATGATAAAAACAGGCTAACTTCTGTACAATCAGTCAAGACAGACGGTTATCAATAAAACTGCTCATATCATATGACAGCAGAAAGCAAGATTGTTGAAATTAAAAATGAAAATCAAGATGAAGCAGAGTCAAAAATTCCAGAACTTTTATCAATAATTATTTCACAATAAAAGTTATAACAAGGTTGTTTGCTACTTATCCATACCACCTAGATATTCCTATATACACCTAAATCAATTTGCAACCGATTTTGACCGCCCCTGAGTTCTTGAAAGAACAGGCAGCACTTGCCACTCCAACTCCACTACCAACTCATTCTTCAGCTGCTGTGCTTTCTTTCCACCCGTAGAGACCACGGATACTTTTTATTTAGACCACCACATGGCATTTGCATTGCCAACCACTTTTTCTTTCTTAAAATTATTTCCTTATTTTTCTTGTCACTCCACTTCCCATGTTCTATCATTCCAATACCTCCTCTGAGCCTCCTGAACTAGACTTTCCTTTGCCCAACATTAAATATTCTTTCCAAACAATGGGAGTGATCGCAGCCCTACACACAGCTTGCCTGGACAATCACATCTATGTCTATCTACTCCCCTGGCTTCAACCTCCATCTGGGAAAGACTTCTCAATTCCAGAAGCTCTTTTCTTAATGGAATATGGCATATTTTTACCTTGATATTTCATTGGCATGTCAAACAATACAACCAAGCTGACTTCACTTTCCTGTTCTCACTAGAGTTATTTCTCCTGTATCTGCCATCCCTTTGGATGGTAGGTATCAGAATATACACAGTCACTCCACCAAAAAACATCTGGGAATCACCCTCTATTCCCCAAACCAACCACAAAGTGATATAATTTCTAAATACGGTTCAAACTATTTCCTTCTTTTAATCCTCACTGCTTTGTTCAGTTTAAAATCTAACATATACTCTTTTCTGAATGATTTCACAGCGTCTTAACTCCGCTCAATTTCAATCATCATTCCTTTAACCCTATCTTCAATTTTCTTTCAAAATTGAAAGGAAAGACTCTCCTTTTACATAACAAAAAGTCTAGATTTTATGATTCAGCACATGCCTATCTTTCTAACTTACACTGCCCACCAACCTCATTATCAAGCTACCTGCAGCTCTCCAAATACATAGTGTTTTTAGGTTTCCATTCTTTCCTTTAACAAATGAAGAAATGGATATGCCATAACTGAGCAATTATGTTGAGTGTCCTAAAATATGAAGGCCAGACATTTATATGACCCACAGCGGTTCCTATCATTTTGTAAAAATACACCTTGGTTACCAATAGGATTGACAAATCACAATGCTTTGACCTAAATTTCCATATTAACACATTTTATGAAACACATAAGGAAATGGAGAAGACTGATGAGCTAATGCGAAAGGGATGAGCAACATATAAATGGATATTATTTGATCTTCTGTTGCCTCAAATGGCATGAACTGTTGACAGGGCATTAGAAGAAAGAATTTTATTCACTAGCTAAATCCAATTTAGAACTCTTCTTGTTTTCCTCTCTAGGTCAGAAGTATTTTTTAGCATTTCTCAAAGCTCACTGATTTAAAAATAAAGAAAAATGTAACTGTCATAGTACATTGAAAAAAATTGTGGTTTAAAATTTTCCCTCTAAAACAGTTTGATTAATTATTAATGATGCAATTAAGAAAGAGAGAAATCCTTTATGTTAAATCAAAGTACAAGATACATGTGTGTTGGGAGCAATTTAACAATGCTAAGGATGAGAATAAAGATAAGTTTATAGCTGTCTAACAATAAAATGACTGGCCAATTTAGATAAACTTTAACATTGAGAAGAAAGTTAGTGAAGGATTAAAAATAGTTATTTGCTTACAATAAATAAGCTACAAAGATATATATAGTACAACACAGGGAATTTAGCCAATATTTTACAATAACTATAAATGGAATTTAACCTTTAAAAATTGTGAATCACTAGGTTGTGTACTTGAAACAGATATAATATTATACAACAACTATACCTCAATTTAAAAAATAAAAAAAGTTAATTGCTGCTGAGTGGATAAAAGAAAAACTTTTAATTAGAAGTTCTTTATTTTTATTTATATAAGATGAGCCTGGTTTCATTTGAGCGTTTTTCGAAATATGGTACAATTCTCTCAAACTAAAAATTAGAACAATCATGGTCTGATCTTGAATTCCCCATTAATTTATTGCCTTAGTCTTGGTCACCTAACCATCATGGGTTTCATTTTATCTATAAAAAGAAAGAATAATGCATGTTATATTTACTGTAAAGGGATCTGGTGGGGAAAACAATCAATAGAATTGACATTGAAATATTTCAGTATGTTTGAAATGTTCCAGAAATAAGATATTTCAAAATAAAAATGGACGGTTAGCAATATTTGTATTCTTGAGGTTCTGTGTATATATTTCAAATCTCACTAAACTGCATTTAATCTAACTGCTTTTTGAAGTAAGTTGTAAAAATGAAATTACCTAGCAACTGGCGCAAAATGGCATTGCTAGCAAAAGTTCTAATGCTTATATCTCAAAGTACTTCACATAATAAATTTCTCAAAGCACATTGATTTAAAACTTTGGGTTTTAGGATTCCTGTAGTCTTTTCCTATTGGACTTACACATTTCAAGCATGGACTGGGTTCCAGATTTCTTGGTACAAAAGCATAAATCAAAAGACTGGATGCGTAAAAGCAAAAGCTTTCATTGTGATAGCTGAATAAGAAATTGTATGATTTTGTTACTAAAAGATGTTTTCATGTATAAAGGTAATGATACACTGTGAGAATTTCAATACACATATACACAAGTTTTATAATTTAGTGTGATACCATATAGCATGTGAGTATAAGTATCAAAGTTAATTGCAGACATGAGACCATGAACTATTATCCGGCACTCTCATCCCAGCGATAAAAAAAAGACTCATGCATCCTGAACTATTTCAATTCTCTTACCTATGAACACCTACTGGTACAAGCAGAAAGTTGAAGAGCACAAACTTTTTTTAAGCTCAGTTATTGCCATCTTATTCACAAATAATTCTTGATAAAGTATTCCTTCAAAATAGAGAATACCAAAATAATTATGTACACCAAATCCTCACTTATAAACCAGAAAACAAATCTAACATATTTTGAAATTTGTTCTGGAAAACCATCCAGAAAAACAAAGTTATGGACTCAATGATCAAATAGATGCAAAGCCTTGATGCCTTGATTTACTAGTGCTATTCGGGCTACCTGATTAATAAATAAATATATTTTTAAGTGGCAAGGGCAGGACAAATCCTTAGGTACTGCTGATTACCAAAACTGAGCAAGACCTTCCTCTATATGCACATTTTGTCCCTAAACAGAAATCAGTTCTCTTCTCTGATGAATTTTTTGATAAAAAAAATATAGTTGCTGTTGTTGGTATATTTTCCCCTGCATGCCTAGGCTAATGATCCCTGAATTTAGCCTGGAAGTAAAAGAGTTAATATAACCTAAAGAGTATATTCTTTTTAAAGTTGCCCAATAAAAGTTAGATTTAAAAAATATATACATGTATATATAATATATTAGTTATATATAAATAGGTAACAGGAATAGGTACAATAATGAATTTATACCTTATATTTGATCCCATGTTACACATAAACTTTTTATTTTAACATCGCCAACCTTAATATTTTATTATATCTCTCATTAATAATTCAAATTTTAAATACGACCAGCATCATCGCCGCCTTGCTTTAATATAATATCATAATACCCACATTGCTTCAATATAAATAAATTTACTGCAACACCTTGGCTATACATTATTTTGACAAGCCTTCTTTGCAGAAGGCAAAGTAAAATTATGCAGAGAGTATTGATTGTTGTATTCTATAGGTATTAAGCATCTATGAGAACAAATCAAAGCTTATTAAAAAAAAATCAAAGTAAAAGCGCATGCCATTTATGAGATTCATTACGTTTACTTACATGCCACTTCCAGAGATGCATTTCGACTCACTGCTTCACCAAGATAGTTCCTTGCAACACACACGTAGCTTCCTTCATCAGGTTTACTTCTGCGCCCATGCACAATGCGCAAGAAGAATAAGGAACCGCTGGGCAGAAGCATCCTGTGGGACCGGGGATCATCCTTGTCAGTCTCCACCCGCTCGCCATCCTTGTACCACTCAATGGTGGGCGTTGGCCGGCCCTCGGCCTTGCAGTTCAACGTGGTGGGCTCTCCCTTAGAGACAATGACATCGGAAGGGTGCTCCACAATCCGCGGGGGAAAGTCTTCCTGGCGAAGACGAGATCCTACAAAATGTGACAGAATGAAGACAAGCTTTAACATTCCTTATCTATAGCTTTTGTTTCACTTAGGTTCACACTGATAAAATTAAACTATTCAATCATTCAAACTGCATTTACTACTATTTTATTTATGTTTCAGTCTTTTGTTCTTTATGCATCTCGTAAGTCATTCCAAGTCCCTTTTGGAACAAGACAATATAGCAGTAAATTAATACGTTAATTCTAATGAGTTAGTTTTAACATGTTCCATGAGTCAGGACAAATAAAAATAAGCATGAAATTTTCTTTTGGAACCAGTAAGTTGCAATGGGTACTAAGATGAGTAAGGTTAATTTCCTGTCTTCAAAGTGCTTACTATGTACTAGGGGAGAAAGCCAAGTGCTTACAAGTGTACTAGGGGAGAAAGCCAAGTGCCTAAAATACACACATAGAAAACGTTTATCATGCTGGCACTGTGCTATCAGAGTCAACACAAAAAAAGACCTGAACATTATGTACAAATAGTAACTCAATTTAACAGATGAGGAAGAAGTTTAATGACATATATTGTCCAGGACTGTGGAAGAAGTAAGCAGTAGAGGCAGGATTTGAACCCAGGTATGTCTGACTGAGGAACTCAGGTTAAATCACTATGTTGAAATAAGTGTTGCACGGAGGTCCAAGAAATGTATTACAGGAAAAGATCGGGAAAAGTAATGTCAACTCTAACTAGAGCACAGTGAGAGGCTTCCCCAAAAAAGGTAGCATTTAAATTGAGTTGTAAAGAATGAAAATAATATGTCAACAGAAGGAGAAAGACATTCAGAATGAAGAAATAGCATGTGCAAAAGGACAGAGAAATGACAATATACGTATAAAACATTTCATAATCAGGGAGGAAGTTAACGTGGCAGGTGAGGGTAAAAAGCAGTCTTATAGCCGGAGACAAAAGGGCTTAAAATACCACGCTAAGGAGTGTGACTTTTATTCCATATGGCTAACTGATTTTGAGGGAGCAGTGATATGACCATCTGTGTATTAGAAAGGTTCTTTTGGTCTGTACAGTAAAAGATAGATAGTGATGGAGGCAAAAAAGACAGGTGAGAGTTACTTCTATATCCCAGAGAACAATAAAAAGAACCTGACCTTGAAACACTTAAGGTAGAAAAAAGAAGGAAGATATAAGTTATACAGTAAAATAAACACTTGACAGAATTTGGTATTCCACACAGTAAGGAAGAGTGACAGGTACCAATAACTTTCCTGTGGCTACAATGAAAATGGGGCCATTAAAAATTAGAAGAAATAGGAAGAGAAGGACCTGTTTGGTATTTTAAGATGAAAATTTTGCATAATGTACTGTTTTGAATATTTTAATTTATGAAGTGTCAGAAGCCATTATTTGTGGAAAGGTCCTACCAGCTACTGCAAATAATTCTAAAGGAGACGGCTGGGAGAACTCTGTCTGGAGACATAATGATAATCTACATACGAGCTTTTAAAAGCTCTTACAATTTTCCAACCAATCACCCAATATTGGCACATTTCTGTTCAATAAACAGAAGTAATATTTACTCATCAATGTTATTCCAGTTAACTTTCAATATTAATTTAAAATTTCTATTTGAATTTAATACAGGGAAATTAATTTGGTAGTGAATGAACCTTTTCTGAAGAGGATTAACTTTTAAAGGTTGCTGATTACCATTTGTTAGCTCATCAGATGCAAGAAGGAACCTATACATTACAAGTGCTAGGCACCTAAAGCAAGAGTAATTTACACTACACAGGTCAAAGTTTTAAGAAAGGAACTAAAGAGACCCAAAGCATTTAAATATGGACAGAAAACCACAACCTGCATCACAGTAATAAAGAAGGTTATATATTGTAAGTACTGAGGCCCTAACACAAATGAGGAATTTATAGAATATAAAAAGTAAGAATTACTTTAAAAAGTAATAAATGAGGTCCCAAGTACTTAAATTTGAATAACTAATCATAGCTTGCAAATCAGTAGCATATTCCCAAATGTAAAGGTCTGGACACATAGCCATAGAAACTGATACTAAAATGCACCAAGAGTTATATGTCACTTTTCAGGTAACAGACATACGGTAGCCACAATCCTCTTGTTTGGATACCTTCCTTGCTCTTCTCTAATGTCCCATATGCAATCATCTACATTCTCCCTAATGCCAAAGTTGTTCTATTATTAAAACTAAGCAAGTTAACTGTCCATGTTTTTAGAGTGCTATTTTCTACATCAAAAAGTTCTCTGCCTTATTAGGCAGTTTGGCCTGAATAAGGCCTGAACAGGACCTGAAATACACTAACACTTATTAAATAAAATATAAAATAATAGACTAATAAGAGAATTAGATGCAAAACATCTAAACTATTTAGCAATAAGATTTAGAATCTAACATGTCCAATAGCACTCAGAGAATTTTACTCACTTATGACTATAACATATGTAAACTATCCTAGTGCTGTTGCATTTGGATATTCTTGTAGTAGCTTTCCTCCGCTGTTATAAAAAATTCAAAAGAATATCTACAACCTAAATGTAAGAGGTAAAATTATCAAACAATTAAAAGAAATTACAGGAGCATATTTTTATGATCTTGAGTTAGTCAAAACCTTCATGAATATGACACCAAAATCACATGCAACAAATATATTTGTTCTTTAAAAAAACATTACAAAAGGAAAAACAACCCACAGAATCAGAAAAAAATTGCAAATCATATATCTGATAGAGGACTTATATCTAGAACATATAAAGAACCCTTACAACTAAATAAAAGTACAAATAACCGAATTTAAAAATGGGCCAAGGATTTGAATAGACATTTATCCAAAAAAGTTAGACAAAAGGTCAGTAAGCACATGAAAAGATTCTCAACATCATTAGCTATCAGGACAATGCAAATCAAGACCACGAGATATACTTCACATCCACTAGGATGGCAATAATCCAAAAAGTGTAAAATAACAAGTATTGTCTGGGACGTTGAAAAATTGAGAGCCTCATACATTGCTGGTGGGAATGTAAAATGGTACAGCCACTTTGGAAAACTATCTGGAGTTCCTCAAAAAGTTTTGGAATTAACATATGACCCAGCGATTCCACTGCCTGGTATATACCCAAGAGGAATGAAATCTTATGTCCCCACAAAAACTGTAACATTGATAGCAGCATTATTCATAATAATTTTTTTAAATGGAAAGAACCCAAATGTCCATTAACTGATGAATGCATAAATGAATGTTATATATCCACATAATGGAATATTATTCAGCAATAAAAATGAATGAAGCACCGATACACACTATAACGTAAGTGAACACTGAAAATATTATGCTAAGTGAAAGAAGCTAGTCACAACATGATTCCACTTACATAGAAATGTCCAGAATAGTTAAATTCATAGACAAAAAAATAGATTTTCAGTTGTCTAGGGTAGGTAATGGGGGTGAGAGGTGAAGGGGGATTGGAGAATCTTTTGGGGGTGATGAAAATATTCTAAACTTATTTATGCTGATGGTCGTACAACACCATGAAAATAATAAAAACTATTATATTGTACACTTTAAATGAGTAAAGTATGTATGAATTAATGTCAATAAAGTAGTTTTTTAAAAATCATAAGTAAAGGCACTGTGAACAAATTTAATACAAGGCATTGTAACAATTCATGTTCATTCTGACCAATAGTTAGGTTATTTTCCTCATTCATAGTTTTAAGTTTAAATGTAATCATCAGGCCAGCAATGGTCAATAGGGCATAAAATAAAGTTAAAAGGTTGTACCAGTCAGATAGATGATTGATAGTCATATAGGTAGGCAGACAGATAGATAGAATGATATGGAGATATGAAAAACATAGCTGCAATCTAAATTTTAAGATGTTATTAAAAGTGAGGGAATTAATTTTGAACTCCCTTAAATTCAGACATGATACAACTACAGCAGTGACCCTTAAGATGGGTAAGCCTTAGAGAGGTTCGTGAATTCTTTGAAATTGTGTATAAAACTGGGTATTCTTATGTGGACAGGAGGAAGTAGTAGCAAGAGGGGCTACAGATTTCATCAAATTTCCAAAGAGGTCTGGGGCTTTAAAATTATGAAGGGCCACTAAAGTACTAGGATCAAAACAACCCCATTATTTGGTTAAAAAACAAAAACAAAAAAGATAGCTGAGTTGTCAGCCAAAGTCACTGGGGATTCAAAACCCAACAGTAGAGGGGGCTGTTCATCACATGAAAAGACAGGAAACAGTTTAACTTCAAAAGCTTTGATATCCAAGGGCAAATAAGAAATACAGGGTCCCCAGCCCAACCCCAGACCTACAGAATCAGAATCCGCATCTTAACAAGATTCCCTGGCAATGCATATGTGCATTAAAGTTTGAGAAGCACTGCTTTAAACAGTTTTAGTATAACCTTGAGCTAAGGATGGTTTAACATTTTTAGCATGTTGTTAAAAAAAGAGGAGGAAGAAGAATAAAATTAGCAGAAGGTGAAGGAAGAATGAGACTGTATATTGTCCACAAAGCTTGAAATACTGTAATCTGATCCTCTGCAGAAAAAGTCTGCCAATCCTGCTTTAGGGCACCTGTTTATCAATTTCCATTAATAACTTTAGTTTATTTGTTTATTTTTTTATATAGGACCACAGAACTTTTTTCTCCAGATTTCAGATGAAAAAATATGTCAACAGCAGGAAAATAATATTTTGCTCATGTAATGGGAAATATTCAGGATCTCTATTTGGTCAGATGCGCTAAGCACTGTATCAGAATTACTATCTGCAATTCTAACTTTGCTTGCAGCTAATAGCAAGTCTGGACATCATTTTATATCTCAATTATGAATTGTGCAATAAAATAGTCAAGTTTAATCTAAAACATTTTATTCAACTGTCTTTAGCTATTATAAAGAAAAAATGTAAATTAGTCATAGGGTACTATAGGTGAATATCCAAATGTTTATTTTTACTGTCCAAGAAAGTAAGCTATAAA